GGAGCTCAAGGAGCACCACCCAATCCGAATATCAATCCTCTACCACCTCAACCTGGATCTCAAGGAGCACCACCGAATCCAAATATCAGTCCTCTACCACCTCAACCTGGAACTCAAGGTGCACCACCGAGCTCAAATCCAAATATCAGCCCCCTACAACCTGGCGCTGCTTGTGCTCAGGGAGCACCGGCGCAACCAAATGTTAATGCAGGAACAAACGTACCAAATGGAGTGCAAGGGTTTCCTTCAAATCCAAATGCTCCGGCATCTGCTTCTCCAGTCAATGGGCAAACTTTGCAGGGAAATCAAAATCAAATCCCTTTGTTTCCAACGACAGCTTCTGAAGAAAAACCTAATACTGTAGGAAATACCCCTTGTCCTGCTCCCATGGTTGGGAACAATAACGGTAATGCTGCTGTCAACAACTTGTCTAATGAATTCGCCAATGCATTTGCCCAGGCGTTAAAGTCAGAGCAACAACAACAACAACAACAACAGCAGCAGCAGCAGCAGCAGCAGCAGTTTGACAGAAGCGGTAAAAGGACTCGTAGCAAAAGTACCAAAAGGCACAAGCATCGTAAGTACAAGTATTACAGTAATGATGACGAGAAAGATCCAACTAAATCTTATAACGGAGAAAATGTTGCAGATTCTCAAGGTGAATTTTCGATCCACGAAACGAAACAGTCAAAGATATATTTAATGGAAAATGAAAATCAGGAAAAGAATGATGCATTAAGCAGTGACGACGAAGCAGAGAAAACAAGAGGTAATCTGAAGAAAAAGAAAGAAGTGTTTCAAGAAAAACTTAAATTTAAGAAGCAAAGACATGATAGCACCGATTTGTCATCAGAAAAATTAACGAAGAACAAGGCAAAAAATCAACACCGAATACGTTTCAAAATAAAGCAAGTAAGAAAAACTTTAGGTGGTCTAAAGCGACTCAAGGCTCATAACTTAATGAAACCAAAAGAAATAGTCAGAAATGTCAGGAAACGCAAACAAAACAGCATCGTCCTACTCAAAAACGTCGGCGTTACCGAATCAAAAGAAAAACATAAGCTGAATCATGCATCAGAATATAAAAGAACCAACCACAGAAATTCCAAAACATCGTTGCTGAACTATGGGAAGACAAACAAACACTTTCTTTATGACAACAACAGAATAATGCAGAAGAAAACGAGACATCCGAAATACACAAAGGTTCCTACTGAAGGAACGACCCCTGAAACAGTTTCAGAGGTGTCTGCAAGCGGAAGTGGTCTTTCGGACAACGAAGATGATTTTGAATTTGTTCTTCCAAGAGAAGAAGAAATGACCGAATCATAAGTGACAACATCGCGTAATTTATCTGAGAAATTTCGTCCGATATTGTCATTGAAAAATATATATATATACAAATAATGAGACAAATAAATTTATCGTTTTATATTGATAAATCGATATATTATTAAACATCAAATATTAAGACAAGTTAAGACAACGGATCAAGTTTACCAAACACTTTCTAGAATGATTTTGTGCATATATATAATATATAGTTAATGTCCGTGCTCGATCCTTGATCCTCATTCCTTTCTCGCCAATCATATTTTTACAGTTTATCTAAAGAGCCCTGGAACTGATACTCGAAGGCAGTTTCAACATATACGCGTCATGCTTCAACTGAATTGCTCTGTTAAAGCCTATTTCTATTTTCAAAAATGTTAGAGAGGGCTTATCTCAATACTTTGTAGTATGTTCACATTTAAATGCAGCGAATCTCGTCAGGCTGTAATCAGTTTGGCAGTTAACAATCGAAAGGACAAACTGAATATCGGTAAGTTCGATATAAACGTTCTTTTAAATATAAGCTTAAATGACTAGTCAGTTCAAGGGATATAGTGAAATCCTGCCGGAGACCCTGCTGGGAATATTGATGGACCCAATACTATTTTCTATAGACTAGTATTCAATTCTTTCCCCAAATATTGATGCTCCCTCACATGTTTTTTATAGGGTTAGTCATTTAATACTTCAGCCTTAGTGCCACATATATCAGACATGTTATGGAAGATTGTTTTCATTGCAGAGGTTTTGATTACAAGCTCTATATAAAAATCACAAAAATCGTCATCATTATGAGATGATTAAAGCATTTTATAGGTTTAGGATCACAATTGGCTACAATTTATACTCATCCTACTCTTCTATATAAGTTAGTTTTAAACTGACATCTGCTTTAACATATTTGCATAAATATATATATTCACATTGACATTCAATATCAGCTTGGTTTGCGTGACAGTGCAAGCGATTTACTTCCCCACCCCTCCCTTGGTTGAGAATGCCATTTTTATCTCGTTATCCCATTTCCTATTCCTTTATCCGTAATCGCTGTCCAGTACCACGGTACATCACAATTTACTCATCATGCAAAATAATAATAAAGCTTTATAGTATATTGTAAATTTATAAATGCAATAAAAAACAGCTGCTTATGGCTCTGTACTGTGATATAAACACTCTGGAAGCTGTAGAGCACTCGAAAAGCAAGAAAACACACGGCTTCGCCTAGCGTTCCCAAGCTTGCTTTTTTCTTGCTACACAACTCCCAGGGTGTTTATATCACAGTACAGCGACATATATACTTATTCCTTAATTTAAATATATTTCTGAAACAATTTTCCAATGCATTTTCACATTTTTAGATACCGTCACGTGCCGCAAAAGGCCGCAAAAGGAGTTCACTCAGCGAATAATAAGTGTGAAGTGTTAAACTGCTTGCACAATGCTTCTTCATAAAGCTGTGCAAGAAAATAACATGGTTGAGGTGAAAAAGCTCCTTAAAAAAGGCGTCGATGTGAATGCCAAAGATAGACGAGGTAACACTGTATTGCACTTTGTCCGCGACGAAGAAATGACATCTTTGTTGTTAAGTTCTTCGTCTATTGACCTTAACATACAAAATGATAACGGCGATACTGCAGTCCATATTGCCTGCATTCCATTTACTGACCGTCTTAGCGATTTAAAAACAAACACTATATGTTCTAGACTGAAAATTATGGAAATGCTTCTAGGAGCTGGAGCATCTCCAAATATTCAGAACCAACTTGGATACAGTGTATTGCATTTCGTCTTTGTGTACGGGGGAATTGCAGGAATTCGTATGGATGTACTTAACATCCGTGATATAGTTGCCCTGCTCCTCAAGTACAGCGCAGATGCTAATTTAAAAGATTTTGAGGGATGTACACCTTTACACCATGCTGTTAGAGAACCAAACATGGCAGGTGTAGCTGAGCTACTTCTTCAAGCTGGAGCAAATGTAGATGCCAAAGACCGTCGTGGAATGACTCCTCTACATCTCATTTTTGATTTGGACGACGAAGAGATGGTCAAGTTACTATTAGGTTATGGTGGAAGTATAAATGAAAAAGACGTTAATGGGACGACCGTACTGTCATCCGCTGTTTTAGTGGGAAATGAGTCCATGGTTGAGTTACTTTTGGCTGATTCTCGAACTGAAATAAATTTAGGGGATTTGAATGGCATCACAGCTTTGCATCTAGCTGCTGCTTACAAACGCATTGTGGTCTGTGAAATGCTTATTGTAAACGGAGCAGATGTAAATGCGCTTGATGCTTGTAATGCAACTTCTTTGCATTATGCAGCATACGGTGGAACGCCAGAAATTGTTAGCTTATTGTTACAAGCTAATGCAAGCCACGAAGTCAAAAATGATTTAGGCTATCTTCCTATTCAGTATGCGCTGGATCGGCATTACTTTTACACAGCCTTGGCATTTGGGGAGGAATACAAACATGAGGTGATAGCTCACCTTTCAACATCAGAACAAATCGATGAAACAACGGAACTACAAGACTGGATATTGCAAAGTTTTCCAGCAGATGACGTGCTGACCATGATTGTTCCAGCGTCAAAAGTTTACTCAGATCCATACAATCAAGACATACTTCCCCCAGATACAATGGATTACATCAAAACTAAGACAAACCAGAACAGTTCTGCATTTGTTCGTGGTATGACGGAAGTGCCAGGTATAGGAAGAATCCCTGATATCGAAGAAGCGAGGGCAATTAGAGTTGCTGTAGAGAGCTATATTGAAAAGGTATCATCCACAATGGCGGATGTTGATCCCAGATTTCGTGGATCTCTTTTGTATTCTGGAAGCGTCTACGAAGGAACGAAGATTTGTGACCCATACGAGTTTGATTATATGTTGTGCCTTGAAATGTTTGAGCAAGTATGCTCAATTCAACTTGACTACGATACACAATTCGATAACGTTCAGGTTTCCAAGGACAAGAGTTTTTTAGATGATCGTTTTGATGATTTTTTCAATGAAAACCAACTTCAGAGTGATAAAGTTATGACTGTGTTTGTCGAGGTGGCCAGAAAAGCAATTAGTCAATTGAGCTTTGCTACGGGCTCTAGTAATCTTTACCTTCAAAGTCTAACTGAACACACACTCGTAGAAGGAACCTGGATCTTGCCTGGAACGGTGACGTGCAATTTGAAATTGATTTGGAATGGCCTTTATTACAAGCAATTGGTCATCTGTGTTGATCTAGTACCTGCAATTCATATCAACAATTGGCTTTGTGCTGCAAGAAAGGGAGGGTGCCTTTTGACTGACAATATAATGTCTAAAGGATGCCACGTAGTGTCAAAGTCTGGATACTGGAGGCTCTCTTTCTCTCTTGCTGAGAAGATGATCATGGAAAATCTTTCAAGTGAGCAGAAGCTGGCGTTCGTTGGAGCAAAGGTCATGCTCCATCCAGCTGTTTCAGCGAAAATAACAATTTATGATGACAGTGCTTTGGATGATTTAACAAACATTAGGAATCACGATAGTACCATAGACGAACAAGATGATGTTATACATGGTGGAAAGCAGGAATTTACAGCTTATGAAGCATCTTCAAGTTGCTTTGATGAAAAATCTTTCCATTCACGTGATGAGCTGCCGACACAAACCCATGATGACGGCCATGCTAGGAGAGATACCATAGGACCTAATTTGGCAGGAATGATGATCGGTAGAGTAATGACAACTTCTGGCTCTCCTGTAACAGCCATTAACGTTTCAGATAAGCAAGCTCTGTGGAGTTTAAAAGTGGGGGACAGAGTTTATATCAGTGTCAAAAAAGACCAATGCACTGGTGGTATGTATAAAAACGAAGGTGGCTTACTAAGAATGAAGGACATAGATGATGCCAGTGCAATAAAAGGACACGATTGTGGTGCTATGAATGATGAAAGGAGAGTCCAAAATGCCACCGTAAGGATGGGAGACGCAACAGATATCTATTTAGCGCAAGGTCAGAATACAAGTGACTGTAGAAAGGAAGGTGAAAACCCAGGGATGCTAGACACAGATGATACCAGTGCAGCAAAAAGCCGTGATACTTGTGCAATGAGTATCGATGGAGATAAAAATGCCATAACAAGGATGGAAAATTTATCTGATATCTATTTGAGCGTAGGTGAGAGTGACGATGATCACATAAATGACGATGGAAGCGACAGTGACATTCCAGCGAAAACCATAGACCCACGTGATGTTCTATCCACGTATTTACTGAAGATGGTGTTCTTTTACTGTCTTGAACAAAACATGACTAAATCTCCCGAGATCATAGTAACAACAGAACAAATATTTAAGCAGATTTATGACTGCTTGAAAGAGAAGCGCCCTCTACCTTACTACTTCATGCAGAACCACAATATTATGGATAAAATGCTTGAAAGTGAAGATTTGCATGAAACTGAGTTAACGATAATGATGTTAAACACTTTTTTAAGCCAGAAACTTTGACTTGAAAAAAGAACAAGTACATATTAAAAGATCGAAGTATGAAGAACTATCCACTCAATATACCTAGACGTCGTAAGATCTTAAGATGATCTAAAGGGCGCTGGCCCTTCAATATGTCGGTCAATTTTAGACATAAATGCTTGTCATGTGATGAAATTCGATTGCGCATGCGTTACGTTAGAGCTCACAAATATGACTGAAGAATCGACACCCCTGTAGTGCCTAGTGACGAACAGCAGTGGGATATTACCGTAAAACATTTTTCAACGTAGACTTTAAGAAAGTCTATATGATTAGTGTTTGGTGTAGATGTATGCATCGACGACTTCATATTCCTTATTTTTCCTGGAATATTGAGAGAGATATAAGATTTAACCTCAAACGTGTTATGGGTTTGTAACAAATTTGTGTCCAGGGCCAATTCCTATAACTATCATGCATGGCCTTCAGTTGCCGCGCGAACACTAGGTTTCTATATTTGGATTCGAAGGCCTTCCTTCCTCTCTTAGTTCTTTTTCACCAATAATGCTGTCACGTGGCTTTTGGGTCCTCGTATGCCAGACAAATACCTGTTGAAATAAAAGGACAGTTTTAGATTTTATAGAACATGAGTCTGCAAGGTTTAGTAGCCGGTTTTAGATATTTGGATTAATTCCTTGAAGCCACGATTTTAATATTTCTTTGCGCGTGATCCAACTGGAACCGATAATCAAAGTGTACCTGAGTGTATCATTAACTATAGGCCTTTTGCAACAAACAGTCACGTACTGATATATCACTTTCATAAAGAATCAATTTAGCCAAAGGTCCCTTGGGGAAGGCTTTGCTGGATGGCAAACAAACTTTAAACTGCTTCGTATCTTGAAACCTTATCAGGGGGGGAGGGGGGAATTTTTGAAAAGGGTTTGGATGTGACGTTAGTAATCCAGCAAAAAATCTTTAAATAAATAAAGTCTATATTTTTTGCTATCCAGTAACAATCACGTGTCAATTTATTGCAAAAGACCTATTGCAGCATTAATGAGCTACAAGTCAAGCAGCCTATCCAGTTGCTTCTCGTGGGCAATTGCATGACCGTTCATGTACCGTAGTTAAACAATAAAGGCGATAAGTCTGCTTGTTCGGGCATAACGATATTCTCGGACCTTTAACTTTATTTTAATTCTTGCTAAGCTATTCGTCACTGAAATGATGTAATATCTTAATTTAGCTGTTGCTGTTTCTCTGCATTAGTACACACTTCATTATCATTGCTTATGCCATTTCATTAATAACTATTTCTTATATTCTAAGGCAAAGCTTAATAAATAAATAAATACCATAAACAAACTTGTCAGACAATTATAGTGCGTGAATATAGAATGTACCGTGTACAAAAGAAGCAGCATAAAAAAATATAATAGACACCTCGAAAATTTCGTCAACATTTAGACAAGCAAGAAAGAGTATGTCCGAATCATAGAGGTTTGCAATAATCTTTTCTTACTGATACGGCAGCCATCTTAAATTATGGGATGCACATGGAGCAAACGTAAAAATATTCATATAGAGCGTTTAAACAATAGAAACTTTCTGCACAGTATTTGCATAAAAATAGAGTTCAATTCCCGGAGGATAGAAAATGTATTGTTTTGGTACCCCATGATGGCCGCTGTGACGTCACGTGAAAACGCTCTATAAAGCAAAGGAGTTTTCAAATGATTTTACGCTTTGGTGGTTTACATATCGGTCCAGCTACCAGCAAATTCAATTAGTTTTTAGATGCGTTTCACGTTTTTATAAAGTTGTATAAAAAGACACCCTGACAGCCGTGCTGTCTATATCTTTTCCAATGTTTGCTCCCTTGGCATCCCATAATCTCTTACTTAAAACAATGGAATTCAAGATGGCCGCCATATGTAAAAAGGTATATTTTGATCTACCTTTTGACAATCACCCAAAGGCTCCAGCTCCTCCCTTGCAGTAATTTGCCTCAATAAAGATGACTCCAGCATCCCAGGTCTTTTCATAGCCTTAAATTCAGCATGTGGATATTCGGTTATCAACTTTTTGATATTAATACCAAAGCCAGCCATGTCTATCGGAAAGGGTCGAAATCTTCCCCAGTTTGTGTGGAATCTGATCACTTTGCCCTTTTGACATACGGGACCAGCCCATCGAGCAGCTCCTGTAAATGCTACAGGCCAAACCCCTACACCTTTTATCCATCGAATCTGTAATAATAGTAAATATATAATTGTAAATCAATGAATGAAATGACAATCGAGTGAAAAAGCGTGTGAAAGCTCGAGAACGAGGAAGTGAAGTGAAGTGAAGCCGAAGAAAGAAAGGCAAGGAAAAGAAAGACTGGTGCAAGCGATGATGTAGAAACTAGCAACAACTGCCAAACAAAATGTATAGACCTGCTCGAAAAAACCTGAGAGCATAAAAGGATGAACCACTTTTGAATCAAAGGTTTGATTTTAGGCAAGGCCCACTACTCCCATCCTTCATCTCAAGCTATTATACTTATGGCAAAAGCGTGCCCCCCTCTCCCCTCCTTCGTCCTGTATCTATCCTCTTCATCCTGACCAATCAACGTCCTTTTCTAAGTACGATAAACATGAGCTATTTTCTTTTACTTTCGCGACAAACAACACCATATAAGGCATTATTAACACGATATTTTTAGTCGTACCAGAAGCTAGACCACAATACACCATGTTTGCGCAATCTCAGAAAATATCTATGAGCTTACCTCTTCAAATAGCCGACTGTCGTAGGTGTTATCGTCATCAGCAAAGTACACCACCCCAGGTGTGTCCTCAGGATTGATATTATCCCGCATCCACTGGATACCAACATTTCTTTGGAAGACTCCTCGTGGTTTAAACCTTCGAAACTCTCCCTTCCTTTTTTGAAAAATCTCTGGCGTCCTAATATTCAAATGGGTATATTTTAAGCCCGAACTCTTTAGAAATTGCTCCACTAGCTTGCTCTTACGAAGTGAATCCTCGACAACAATCCAGTGAAGATTGCGAACTCCTTTGAGCGCTTGGGATACTCGAGTTAGTTCAGCTTTTTGAACAAATCTTTTAAATGTCGGTGTAACTATAAAAACTGTGGGGACAGCTCTATTTATTTTTTGTTTATCTATGACTTCACCAATTCCATCTTTTGAGTCGCATTTTTTAAATTCTTCTCCCAATTCGTTTATTTTGAGTTGCAGCTGTTTAAGTTGGTTTCTAGATCGGGTAAGGCGTTTATGAAGCTCTTTGTTATTTTCTTGTGTGTCCAGTGGGGTGTCATATAATGATCTTTTTCCTTGTACATGCACTGCTTCCTTCAAGGACAACATATTTTCTGAGTCGTCTGCAAGGAAGGAATAAATAAATGTAGAAAGATTTTTCTTAGACCGGTGAAATAGCTAGTAGGTAAAGTGGTTTTCACACACCCGTGAAGTACACTCAATTGAAGAATCGTTGTCGGGTTCAGAAACATAGAACATAGAAGCTGAGGCCAAAATAGCACATGGAAAGTACATTAATTAGATGCACGCGTTTGGTATTCTAAGGCCCCGTCCACACGTATCCGCAAATTTTCGTATCTGCAAATTTTTTTTTTACGGATACGGGTTGCGTCCACACGTGTCCGCAAATTTTTGTGTCCGTATCCGCAAATTGTACGAAAACGGATACGTGTGGACGGTGAAAACGATTCGAATACGCTGCGTGTGGACGCGAACATTTTCGTATCCGAAAAAAAAAATTTGCGGATACAAAAATTTCCGGATACGTGTGGACGGGGCCTAAACCGACTGCATGGATGGCGCAAATGAATAAATTATAATATAATTATGTCATTTCCCATGTGCCATTTGGGTCTCAGCTTTTATGTTTTATGTTTCTGAACCCGACAATGATTCTTCAATTGAGTGTACACATGGCCTAATACAAATTAGTAGACATTAGTTCCACCGTATTAAACACAAACTTATGGTATCTGTTTCACGGGTTTATGAAAATTACTATAACTATTAGTATAGAGTGAAGGCATTTTACCCGTGAAATCGTGAATTATAAAATAACTGTTATGAATGTCGCGTTCTAATTGGTTGGGAGCGCGTGCTTTATGAGAGCACATTGCACGAGCGCGCACTTTCCGTTGCGTCATTCCTATCTAAAATAACGGTTATTGTAATTTATATTTTATAAAAGAAAAAAAAACTTGCTTGCTGTGCTGTGTGCCATTATAAAGCACTTGGGGATTGGCAGGACACTCGAGAAGTTTCCAGAAGCACTCTGCTACGTGCCGTGCTTCTCCTAACACTTCTCTCGTGTTCTGAGAAACCCCGGGTGCTTTATGCCTGCACACAGCACACGCGCACATTTTCTATTTCTTCAATTAATAGTACTATAATACAAGATGTAAAATAATAGTCAAATAGACACAAAATAAAACAAGGGAAATAGGGTCTAATAATGTGTATTAGATTAATAATAAATCTATTGAATGGGTTTAATGAATTCACTCTACTATTTCGTGGTATGAGAGAAATCACTATTTTCAGCGCTTTCTTATGTATCTATTTGACTATTTTACAAGAACTACTAGAAACTGTTTCACGGGTCTGAGGCCGAAAGTAACTCTTTAGTAAGCAAAATGCCTTAATAAAAAGAGGTAGCGGGATTTTGCTTGGCCCATGAAACAAAGTAACAGTCAAAGTAAAAAAAGAGTTTAACTGTTTGGAATTAATATGATAAAACGACCAGAGGAGCAAACGGAAGGGAGATGTTGTCGCGATGACGACGAAATTACTGTTTTTACTATAATTATTATCGTATTCTTGCTTTACTGGTCCTTTTAATAATACATTTACAAAATCACTCTAATAAGGTAGTGACCCAAGACAACACGAACAAAAGAATTCAGCTTTAGCTTATCTCCGGTGTAATATAATTAACACAGCAAAGCTGACATCACATCACCAAAAAACAATACCAGCTTCACAATAATCTATAGAACCAATCACAATAGATATAACAAAAGAGCAGTATAGATATAGCCCATATATACGCTCCGAGTTCAACAATCAATTATTCATCGCACACGCCGCTTGCTGGTGCGGCTTCCATCAGTGTACACGGCTCCATTCAAATCTAGATATAAGGTTGATAAAGAAAAAAAACGTGCGAAGACATACAACACATATACACGAAACAAATTATTTAGGAAAATATTATCTTTATTTTAACAGTAATGATGAAAAGGTAAATTATACACCGTGAAAAGATGAAAAAACTTACTGACGTTTCGGACGCTAGTCCTTCGTCGGAGTAAAAGAGCGTCTGAAACGTCAGTAAGTTTTTTCATCTTTTCACGGTGTAAAATTTACCCATTTTATCTTAACTGCTTCATTAGAAACACCGACGCAGATCAGACTAGTTTTTAGCTAGTTATATCTTTTTATCTTTATTTTAGTTATTTCATTGACGGTTGTTGAAAAGGTTGTCGGGGAAAAAGACACTAAACTTCGGGGGTCGTACTTCAATTACAATGATAATAATTTCTTTTGTTTTATAATCGGGAGTTTTAAAACTTCAGCTATTTTACTTCAGCTATTTTGCGAAATATTTAGCTAATAGCTTAATACAGCTATGAAACAAATGTTACTTATTAGATGGTAAACGCAGGATTCAAACAATAGAAAACAAAGGAGTTAGAGCGTAATAGTACTAAATAAAATGTATTTAACAGGTTTAGGAAAATCACTCTAATAGATATTAAACTAATAAACATTAGTAGCACCTAATTCCATTGTTTTCTTTTGTCTATATTTAAGTGTACTAGTTAGTACGCGTTGACTAGTTGATAATTATTCGCTGAAGGCGAAGTGAATATCGGGGAATAATTATTCCCGATATTGACTGAGTTTGAGGTGAATAATTGTTTTAGTATAAATAGCAGGTGATCCTTTCAAGAAAAGAAAAAAAAAAGAAGATAAAAAACACATTTTTTCCGATAACAGCAACAAAGCGGCTGGCCACCATTTTGAATTATCGCTGGAGGTGATTATCGTGTGATAGTGTGAGTTTTTCGACCAATCAGCGCGCGAGATTTTCAAAAATCACCTGTGTATTTATACTAATATTTTTTATTACACATTGAGGGTCGATATCCGTGCGTGTGATAAAGCCGTGAACAAAACCTATATCAGTGAAGTGATACGATATCACTTCGCGGTAAACTGGAAACTGAAAATTTTGCCATTTTATCGACCTTAAATATGTATTGAACAAATTATTACATGTTTAGAGCCTGATATCTTTTTCATTCACTCGCTTTTCATATCATATCGCTCGCACACTCGCTCGCGGACTCGCTGGTTTAAGACATCATTTGGAAACTCGTGAATAAAAACAATATCAAGCTCTTAACATGTGTTGATCTCTATTTATTTCACGGGTTAAATGAATTCAATCTAAAGCCATAATAAACTTGATACCGTTATAATAGAGTAGTTTTGATTAAGCCGTGAAATACACTCTATCGTTAAGCACTACCTCACGATAATTCTTTTGTTTTCTATTGTCTTTTTGTGACTATTACACTCTAATTATTACACTTTCTTTCGCGGGTTAATGAAAACCACTCTAACTTGTACTTCTAAGAGAAGCTGTAGACAGGCTTCAAGGATCAGTATAGCGTTATTTCAAATATTTTTTTACATTGTTAGTGCATTAGTTTTTTACGTAGTCATAATCATTACATATAATACATTATTTTCTGTCATGAACATTTCTTAGCTAGAAAAGATACAAACGCTTTTGAAAACTTACCAAAACGTAGGTTTGCCACATTAATGGCATCTTCTATTTCGTCGGAATGCATCTTTAAGCGAGACATACGCCTTGATTGTCGTAGCTCCTCCTTCACAACGAAATACGTTAAAGGAGTCATGGCAATTAAAAATGCTAGTAGTACTGCTAGCTCCTTCCTGGCCATGAGATATTCAAGTCGCCGTTAAATCTAGTGCCAATAACTCCTCAATACATTCCAACCTAAACGAAAAGAAAAACAAAAAAACGATTGAAATATCGTTTCATTTGTAAGGAAGTGAAAACAGGAAGGAAGAAGGAAGGAAGAAGGGCACAATGTAGGATGGAAACAATAAAATACGTATAAAGGAGAAAAGAACTTACCTATTCGGAACAACATTCAACGAATCCTTATTTAGCTTCCTCCTACCTTTGTTCTTAACTAAAACTTGCTACGTATTATCTGACACCATTACATGCCTTCTAACACTTGAAAAGAGAAGAGCTCCGTTCCTACGTGGTTCATTCAAAGTCTCGCGGATCCATTGTTTTGATTTTCATTCCTCGCAATCTTATTATAACATGGTTCATTTTTGTTTACTGGTGTTCAACAAGCCGCGCGGTGAGATTTTCAGCGAAAAGAAAATATTTTACAGAACAGGTACCTACTGAAAAAGTAGGGTTTTTATTTTATTTTTTTAATGTAAATATTCCTAACAGCCACGTTAGCATTCCTACTTGTATAACATTGTATTCAACTATGGGTGGTGTTCAAAATATCAACATGTCCCCTTGCTAAGACGTTTTGATCTGCACTCGCTATTTTCAAGTTCCCATGATGCTTTGCTTTTGGTGGAATGCCGGTTCAAAACTGTCATTATACCTGCTTTTATATACACCTATTCCAAAAAGCGTCATCGCCTCGATAGGTCATTGCAACATGAAAATGGCTTGGTTGAAAACATGTCCATGTTCTTGACGAGAACATAGTTAATGGAGCGGAATGGTTGGGAAACCTATCGTTCTATGTTTTTGTTCGTCTTTATCCATTGTTATATGACGTTGACGGTGTACAGTGAAAGAAATGTTGCTCCGTTTGTTTGTTTAGTATTCGGGAATATAGAAGTTTATAATCCTAAAAACGTCCTAAAATACTTATTATTTGTTAGTTAATCCTATATGATTAATACAAATCGCTTATTAAAAAGGGCATTGCCTTTTTTTCATGCTTTCTTATTTATCATCCAGTAACTTGACTGTATCTGCGCGGAAATATTTATCCGCATAGGTTGTGGTCATCGTATGAAAGTTTTCACTTTCAAAATGTTCATGCATGAAAATAATAAGGAAACGAGTACTTTCAGGCATACTTGTTTTGGTCCATTGTGCAGGGTCAGTATCACGTGATGGTACGGATCAATATCAAACGCAAAACAATAGCTTTGTTCTATGGAGTTTCCGAACCATTCCGCTCCATTAACTATGCTCAAGCAAATTCGGGAAAGGTCTATGATTGAACATTTTCGTATTTGTACAATGCCACTGTGTTCCTCGATTACAGACTCAAGACTTGCCTTATTTCAGCGTCAGAATATTCACAATATCGACGGTAAATTAAAGAAAGTACAATTTCAACAATTGCTGGTTTTCAATCATTCCCAAAAGAATGAAGTGACAAAAGACACGGCGGCCATGTTGGATGATARAGAGACTAATGACGAATCTTTTGTTATATTCATCCAACATGGCGGCTGTGAAAACCATCGATTCTTTGGATACAACTACATGACCCAAAATCCTTTGACACATAAATAACAATGAATTAGCCGCCATGTTGGTTGATCTAACAAGAGGAGCTTATGAGGAGGTCTTTGTTATCGAGACGAACCAACATGGCGGCTATGACGTGATATACAACCAAGAAATACAATTTCAAATTTCAGGCATTTTCACTTACCTCAGTGAGTTCACAAATATTCGAAACTGGAGTCCTGGACTCCAGTATATACCACAATAAAACACAGCTCCAGAACTGGTTTGTTCTCGTTCTCGATCAAAGAAATTTGATGCTATTTCTTATTCTTTAGGTGCAACCACTTAACTCAAAATCCCTTGAGATATGAATAACAATGAAACAACCGCTATCTTGGTTGATCTCTAAAGAGAAGGTAATTTTGAATGCTTTGTTATCGTCAACCAACCGCTGTGGATATGATCGGATATGACATATCGGCATGTACGCTAAGAATAGGGTACGACAAAGCACATATCTCTTAACACCAAATCATTTAACGCCAGACCATTTGGCTTGCTGTGGCGTTTGATAGGTTTTGAAGATGAACAAGCGACGTACCAACGGGTGATTCGCATGAATAAGTAAGTAAGAATGCCTTTGTCCACGTTCGGCTGGTCGTTTCAGTGTCTCTCACTACTCATAGATTCAGAATCAGTACTTAGGCAAGAACCAATTTTTTTAGTAAATCTCTTTCGCTATACCTTAAAAATTTCTTAAACTTTTTTACAATTTACAAACCTTTGGTCAACAATTTCCAGAGAGTTTATAGGAATTTGATTTATGGAAACTTAAAAAATGGGTAAAAATCTTTGGAGCAAAAAGCCGTGAAATATCATTTCGTCAATCAGCTTCGAAAATCGACGTAGAAATAAAAGACTTAATGATCAAGAAAAATGGTGAGTACGTAAGAAGATATATTATTGAGTCTTGGAAATTTTGTTATGAAAACAGAATGTGAATAACAATGCAATGCTATGAATAAACTGCAACAGGTGATACGGAGGGTTTGATCTTCTCGGTTCTATCCTAGCTATTCTACTCTTCCCTTGATATCTTAAAACATTGAAAAGTTTTGGAAAGTAAGATATAAATTATGGGTCAAATATTCATAATTTCTGTTAATCCAAGGCTCTCGTAACTTTAATATAATTGGTATTTAATAGAAATGGCTTGAAAGGCTGATATTTATGTTTTTTTTTTTTTGCATACGAAAATAAATCCGATATATTTGAGGTTACAAAATATCAAGGATAGAAGAATTTTTTAAGAAAAATCGAGATATAGTTATAAAGTATATAGTTTTCGTCTTTATTGACACTGAAATATTTCTGTCGGCGTGATTTAGGCCTTTTGTCTTTAGACACAACAGGAAAACCATGTACCATTATTGTGGTAGGTCATGTAGTTTTGATTTTAACATTCAGGCCCATAAAATTAGCATGGGATACCGTTTTAGATGAGTTATTTCAGAGATTTTTTGTCATATCGGATCGGATCTTATTGCAATTGGTCACATTTCATGATGGCAGCCATGATGATTTTCTTTGTTGACCACGTGGTTAGTGATTGAAGCAGCAGCACTTTTTTAGTACACTATATAAAATTATATATAAATATCATATATATCGATCTTAAAGTTTCATTTAACTATCCATCTTATTAAAATGCTATATACATAGTTAAACTAAAAATCTAAATTGAAAAAAAAAAAAAAAARAATAATAAAAATACCTCTAATTTTTATGCTCCTCCTCGAAAGCTTCATTCGTTTATCCTTCTTGGTTTCACTACAAGTTTAGATACACAGTCGTAATAATATAATGTTTAAAATTCTAAAAATTTGGATTCATATACGCACCCAACTTTATGGGAGGGGAAGAAAAAAATATTTTACATTTCCAAAATATTTACCCACCTCTGGATAATGAACTAGTGTCAAATCTCCCAACCGTGTTACGACAAATTTCCGAGTCAAACTCCTTAATCTAAGCGTCAGAGAGGGTTAATAACATTCTGAGATCGATTTTTTGTAAGAGAATATATTTGCCTCATTTGCAAACAATAAGACAAATTTTTAGGTAGATCAAATAAAGACTTGGAAAGGGTTGTTTACCATGTTAACGCCTTTGCTATCATCTTGCAGGTTTTTTTTGGTTCGGCGTTTCGGGGGCACAAACAAGATGGCTGATGTTTGAATTTGGGCCATCTCATTCTAAAAAAAATATTGCTATGGCCTTGACTAGAATTCATCCAAACAAAGTTTTCGTGTGCTAAATGTCTATATTATTCAGCCATTCTCTTTATGTATTCCACCGACAAAACAAAATACGCATTTTAACGAAACATATCTTGGAATCGGGCTATTAAACTCACTGTTCTATTTTACAATTTCAGTTTGTAAGAGGAATTTTCAAGTACGTTATCCTGCTGTGTGGGTTTACTATCGTTGTACTGTTGACCAGAATCATTGAAAACCGAATAGAAAATGAAAACTTTACAGGTTCGTACATTATTATACATATATATCAACATGTGAGTTGAACGTCGTGTGCATAGAACATTGAATGTAGTGGTAGCGCGTGTGAGCGAAAAGTTTCCCCAATTAGTGCGAAAGCGCTAGAACGACTAGACACTTGAATATATAAAGATCTTTTTTATGTTTCCTGATAACCATTGTGCTTTTGAGATGTTTCATTCCAATCTATTTGAAGTGTGCATCCTATCCCATGGGAAAATAAGGACAAGAACAAGCAACATGTTTTTTTTTTCTTTTTTCCTTAGCAGTATTCTCACTAAGCGAAGAAGATGAATATTTATCGAAAACAACACATCCGAACACAGAAAGATCAAATCAAGACATCAAAACACATAACAAAAACACCAAAACAAATATAAATATTCTTCATGCGCATCAAATAAACAAAAGAAATACCATATCATCTTCTAGAAGTACAGACCTACCAACTATATATGCAATAACACCAACATATAAGAGATTCCTACAAAAAGCTGAATTAACAAGAGTGGCCAACACGTTTAGACATGTGAAAAACTTCCACTGGATTGTTGTCGAAGACTCAAGAATTAAAACGAACCTCGTCCATAATTTTCTGGAAAATTGTGGGCTCAAATATACTCATTTGAATATCAGAACGCCCAAGCCTTTGAGGCGCTCACGTAAGCAGCCGCGTTGGTCTACGTCACGTGGTGTGGAGCAAAGAAATTTGGGGTTGGCATGGATTAGAATTCATGTGAGTCTTAACAAGACAAAAGGGGTCGTGTACTTTGCTGATGATGATAATACGTATGATGTAAGATTGTTTGAAGAGGTAAGATTTTTAGAAATTTTTCTAGAGTGTTTCCGCTATCACAAGATGGATACCACGTTGAATGGTAAAAAAAAGTATTGCTTTACAAGAGAAATATTAAAATCCTCGAGAGTAAAGGAATTCGATCTACTGTTCTGCTATCCAACATGGCCGCCATTCAAAATATGTATCCTCAGTTGATAGTCTTATCTTAGTATATTTCTATAAATCAATTCCGTCATATAGCTTACGTATCATATCATTTGCATGCCAACTCCTCGAGTGCAAGTATAAGTAAAAGATCAAAATACAAAAGCAAGGTTGTGGTTCTCAATACCAGCAAACCAGAAATGGTATTGCTTGTCTCGCACGACAGAGTAGGCTTTCAGTCAAGGCGTTTCCATGACATTCTTTTGAGGACGCGCTATAAATAAAAAAAATTTATACCGGCAATGTCATGGAAATGTCCTGATTGACGTCCAGCAATGCCTTGTCAACGACTTAAAAAAAACTATCGACAAAGCGTTTTTCCAAATGGTGATATTTGTACCGAAAAAATAGATAAATGAGGACACATTTACACATTCTTTAACTCCGACGAAAGACGAGCGTCTGAAACGTCAGTAAGTTTTTTCATCTTTTCACGGTGTATAATTTATCCTTTTATCATTACTGTAAACATTCACACACCAGGTAATTAAATGCTACGTATGCGCACTGCACTTTTGTTAGGTACTTACCAGCTGTTTTACGTTATCATTCAGTCTTGTAATAGAGAGACCAAATCCTTATTTTCTACAGATGCGCTTTATAAAAAGAGTAGGTATATGGCCTGTGGCCTTCACTGGGGCAGCACGATGGTCTGGACCTGTGTGCAAGAATGGAAAGGTCATTGGTTTTCATAACAACTGGAAGCCTTGGAGAAGCTTCCCCATCGATATGGCTGGGTTTGCTATCAACGTTAAACTTCTAATCAAGGTGTTTCCAAATGCTTCTTTCGATCCAGAAGTTCGTCCAGGATTAATGGAAACCTCGTTTTTAGAGCAAATCACAACTGTTGGTGAACTCGAGGGAAAAGCTGATGACTGTATGAAGGTGTGACATTAATTATTGTATACACGGCACCACCCTAAAGTAAAGTTCGATCAGTGAAACCCCTTCTGAAACTCCCCGGGGATGCTCTGCAGTTCCCAAAGTGTTTATATCACAGTACAAAGAAATAAGCGCCGGTTTTGTATTGGTAATTTTATCAAATATTTTTTCACATTTTTACGCAAGTGTGTCTATGTCCTCCTATATAAAAAACGGTAGCTAACCAATCAGTGTGGCGTTATGTCTTAAGTATCTTATAGATAAAGAAATAATAATAAATAAGAATAAATATCCATAAAATATTTGAAATATGACGCGCGCGCTGATTGGCTGCCAACCGTGTTTATATCAGATGACAGAGACACGCTCGGCAAACTCTCCATCCAATCAAATTCCCTTAAACAAGGCATGAACACGGCTCGGACATGGTCATGCCAACATTGCATGAGGAAAATCCGCAGATCAAAATTCTAGAAAACATCACGGTCGCGGTAAGCCACGAATACAGCGCCAACTTTTTTTTACAGTCATACAAAACGGATCTAAGTGTAAATCGTTATCTTTTTCAGGTTTATGTATGGCACACAAGAACAGAGACACCTGTCATTAATATCAACGGCGAAAGGCAGCTTATCAAGCTTGGAGTTCCTTCAAATCTGCTAGTGGAAACTTAGTGAAAACATAGCTGCATAGTCAAGAACACATCCACAAAACGTTTTCTCATACATTGACAAGAACGATATTGAACGGTTCACTTTAGTATCTTGTTTGGTATACACCTATTTAAAAAAACGTCCGTCGGAGATCTGAAATCTGAGACCGAAAGGAATTGTGGGTTGTAAGCTGTAAATTGTTTGTGGTTTTAATTAGTAGTTCGCAAAAAGTTAATATCTTGATATACTAACTTTGAACGATGACCTGCGCTGGCAAACTATCTGGGTAACTGTACATTGATTTTCTAACGAGAAAACACTCAGTCCCCCACAATTCTAATCGGTCTCAGATTTCTGAATTCAGACATCCAACCGACGTTTTTTGAAATAGGTTTACATCTACTGACCTGAATGAGTCACATCACATCCCTCTATGCTCAGTCATCCATGGACAATCCAAGAAGCTTGCCATATCCCATCCCGTAAATGACATCGATTGAGAGCAATCTATTGAGAGAGAAAAGGGATAAAACTGAGTTACCAGTAATATAAAGTAACGTTTCGTAGGGGAAGGGCTATCGAAAATATCTCCGATCTTTATGATTTAGTGTCTAGTGAAATACTCTAGTTGGGGGGGGGGGGTTGGGATTTCCATTAATTATAAATGCTCCCTAATTAGGTTTAGTCTAAAAGCAATGCTTACAAACTTTGGCTGTTAATAAATTATACAAAATGATGAAATTTCCGCGACTTGCTCCAGCTATGCAACAGAGGTTCAGTTTGAGTGTAATTTCAATAAAATTTAATTTATAATATTTGTCATTTATGTTAGACTTAAGGGCTTTGGTGTCCATGTACCAGGTACAAGTCTGTTTCCCTTTACGCGGGGACAAAAAAGGATTTTATCAAGCTGAAGGTGGAGAAACAAGGAAGGAAGGAAGGAAAGGAAAGAAAGAAAGAAGGGAAGGAAGGAAGGAGCGGAGAGGGAGGGAGGAGTGCGAAGAAAAAAAATTCAAAAAAGATGGAGTTAGCACTAAGTTTTCTAACTTTTTAACCACAAAATATTCAATGACTGTGTGCAAATAGTTAATAATTAATCGTAAATAAAGAAAGCAACCAGTTTTCTCTGAAAAATAATTTGCTCAGGTTTTCATCAAAACGTATAAGATTCGCCATAAATAACATACCCATTTGTGAGATAGGTTGGGTTCTATTCTTCGCAAATTTTTGCGAAAGTGATAAATTTACTTTCAAGTTTTTACGGCAAACTGATTAAAATTTGAATACCTTGATTTGTCTGGAACTGACGGGCTTCCTGTGTTATTATAGCCGTATGAGAATGGGCTCCACTCTCCACTTCATTTCTCTTGAGTCTTCCTGTTTTTATCCTGTTAAAATATTTAATGACAAAAAATAATATTTTAAAGCAAAAATATCCTTTACAGCTCGGTTTTAAATGAAGAAAAACGTCTACGAGGGATTTAACTATGGACTCGTACTTTAATTTCAACGAAAAGTAGCTTTTTGAATTTTAAAAAAGGACCTTTGAAGCACGAGTTTCTAGAGAAATGGAGTTTTGTCTTTAGTGATGACAACTTAGGTCCTCATTGTCCTTTATATATCTGTGTTTTTTGTTTTAAATGTTGACTAAAATACAAACACTTTATAATGGAGTTAGTCAACGATATCTACAAAAGCGCAAGACAAGGTTCTTCGTCGAACTTAAAGATCCTTTTGAGCAGCTTCAAGTCCAAAGCTAAAGAAAGAAGTAAGCTGATTGAGCACAAAACGAAAGATAATGACCAGATAACGACTCCCTTGATTATAGCTTCTCGTAATGGCCACATCAAGTGTGTAAAGATTCTTCTGTCTTACGACGCTAATATAGAAGCAAGAGGGACTGTTAAAATTGATGATCAGATTATTGAAGAGACATCAGCTTTATGGGCGGCGGCAGCAAAAGGTGAAATGGAAATTGTCAAGCTGTTAATCAAAAAGGGGGCAAATGTTAACTCTAGGACTAAGACAAACTCCACGCCTCTTAGAGCTACTGCATATGATGGGAGACTAGATATTGTAAGCTACCTAGTTGAACATGGAGCTGATGTTAATGTGAAGAATAACTTTGAGAACACTCCTTTGATGGTAGCATGTTATAATGGTCATAGGAGTGTAGTTAACTATCTGATTGAGAAAGGTGCTAAGGTTGATGCTCAAGACAAACAAGGGAATACTGTACTTCACTATGCTGTAGAACGAGGACACTTAGATATTGTCAAAGATCTGGTTGCTAAAAGAGCTTCACAACTTGCCAATAATCTTGGCTTAACACCATTACTTCTAGCAAGTAATGACTGTAAGATTGAAATGGTTGAATACTTCATTGCTAGACCAGACTGTAGCAAGTTAAATGAAATACACAGCCTTGAACTCTTAGGAGCAACAATTGCTAATGAGCCAGATGCTTATGATATCGATAAAGCCTATGAATTCATGATGCGAGGAATGAGGAAACGCTACAAGGGAGATAAATGTGTGATAAAGAAAGATGTCCTTCCCCCAATACAAGCATATCAAAATAGGAGTGAGTGTCAAACTGAAGATGAGCTGAAGGACATCCAGAAAGACTCTCATGCCATACACATGGAGGGATTAGTGGTGAGAGAAAGAGTTCTTGGGCCCAAAAATACTGAGCTACGCTTCCCTGTTCGCTACAGAGGGGCTGTCTTTGCAGACTCGGCTAATTTTGAGCTGTGTATAGCACTCTGGAAGCATGCAATGGACATTGGGCAACAGAATGATCTGGCAGTTGTAGACGACCTGAAGATTTTTGGAGACTTTTTTTGTCACATGATTCAACGTAAAGTGTTTCCAAGCTTTGCAGATGTTTTTGATGTCCTTGAGCATGCGGTTCTAGAGTATGAAAAATTGAGTCAAAAGATTCAGAAAGCTGAAGAAAATAAATCAAAAACACTGAAAGATGATTTGGAAAGTGTCATGCACAGGTCACTTTATCTTCTCACAATATTTGAGCAGCTTAATCTCACGGAATCTGCAGAGAAAATGCTCCATCAGCTGTTGTATAGATATCTTTGTATGAATCCCAGGACGAAACAAGGCAAAACGCTTGTTCACTTGGCTGTTTCAGGTGCAACACCTACCGACGAGCATTACACTAAAGATGTCTGTACCTATCCGTGCTATAAGACGACCAAGCTTCTGCTTCAGACAGGTGCTCAAGTGAATACTATTGATGATGAAGGCAATACTCCTCTTCATACAGTAGTGATGACCAAACCAAAACAGGGACAACAAGAAACAATGGAGAAGATCATCTCTTCTTTATATGATTCTGGAGTTCATGAGGATTTGACCAACTCTGCTGGTAAAACTGCCCTTGAGGTTTCAGCTTCTAAAGAACTGAAACAGTTCTTGATTGTGAAGAGGAGAATTCTGTTGAAGTGCCTTGCTGCTCGTGCTATCAAACATTATCAACTTCAATTTACTGGCTTGGTTCCCAAATCAATGGAAATGTTTATCACTGCTCATTGACGACGCTGTAGTGTGAAGGGTTGAGGGGACAAGATGACTGCAGAACACTTGGTGAGGCTATAGAAAGATTGAAGGCAATGATTAAGCATAATAAATGAGCTGGGCTGTATAGAAAATAACATAGGCCCTGAACATTTTCACAAAACATCCAAAGAATTTGCTATTAGATTAAGATTTATAAGTACCTTAGTAGTCTGTTTGTAATTTCTCATCTGGGCTTCCCATGTCAATGAGATACTCTTTCAGTCTAAACTGCAGTTCAAGGTATTCAAAGCACACAAAAGAACTCCATTTGATCCTTGAACCGATGTGTGCAAACAAGTCTAGTAATAATTAGGTTGATCTTATCTTGCACTATAATTTTTTTCACATCCTAGATCTTACTGTATACATGTAGTATGATAGCTGTTATAACTTTTGACAAACACCTATATGCATGTAGGTGTATTGGTAGTGTATTTGTATAATTATTTTGTTAGCTTCATTACAAATATTTCATGCCATTACGTGGCTTTTCAAATCACTTAAAATTAAATATCTGAACTCATTATTTTGCTATTATTGAGGATTTTGTTCAAGAAATCGTTTTCAATTGCAGTAAAGGAACTTAAATAAATTTATTAACATTTAGCTTAGTCAGCTGATAAATATCCAATATTGTGCAAATTTTAATTTCTCATTGATAACAAATAAATCATTGTATGTTTGGCTATCAGATGTTAATACAATATAACAAATATCAATATAAGGAAAGATATTGGGATAAAAAGCAGGTACACTGCCACAAGACCACACCATTGAATTTCTATCCTTGAAATGATGGGTTGCTTATTCAATTATTTGGTTCTTTTAAGATATGTACGTCGTAAAAAATGATACCATGATTCTATTTGCTTTAGAAGTAAATAGTTGTTATTTACCAATTCAACCAGGACTCGGGGTCCAGATAGGGACAAACTTTGCCAAAGGTCTTCTATATAGGGACTGACATCCCCTCTGTGGACCAGTTTTAGTTTTTGTAAATAACCTATTTATTTTTTCCCCATTATTTCTATCTTGCTCTGATTTGTTTTCGTGGTTTAGCAAACTGTTATTGCAGGATAACAGACTGCAGTCATAGAAAAAAAGTTTACTGCCCACTTGCACAGCCAATCAGAATACACAATGCTTAGGATAGGCAGACCATAAAAAAACAAATGAAATTATTAATTATTGTTTTCAAAGACTTCAGAAAACTACAGATTTTAGTTTTTAAAATCTTATTGAAGTTTATTAACCAAGAGTATATTTCACAATATAGGATGTAAAAAAGCCCAAATATTTTTTTGTCATTTTTGTTGGTTTTATATTATTTTTAGTTACATTTTGTTTGGTTATATATTTTTTTGAGTTTTGGGTTTTGTATTTTATTTCATTTTTTTGTTTTTTGTTTTTGTTTTTGCATTGGAGGTTGGGATTCAAACAATTTGACAAAAAATATTTTTCATCAAATAAACTGTTTCCAACCCATGCAAAATCAATTGTTTCTTTCATAAACCAATAAATCCATCCCTATAAAAGTCCCATAAATTTTCCCAAGTTACAATGTGACAAGTTTTTCCCGTTATGACCACTTTCATTATACATTCCCATCCCTAAATGATTGGTTTCTTCAAGATTGACCAACTAACCCAACCCCCCCTCCCCCTCCCCCACAGAAATACCCTCATATATATTCTTGGTCATAAAAGAGTAACAAGTTGATAATTTAGCTTCAGCAACAGAGTTGATTCCATTTATAGATCCCTCAGGTTCTGCAATTGGAAGATATAATGGATCAACAAATAAATAAAAAGTAAAAAAGGATGAGTATGATGAAAGAATAAACAAAAAACAAACAAACAAAAACAAAAAAACAAAAAAACAAAAAAAAAAACAAACAAAAAACAAAAAAGAGCAAATAAATAAAATGGTTATAACAACACTATTTGTGTGGACAACCATGAATGAACACATGAATGGATGAATGAGAAACTGAAAGCAATGAATGACTAAATGGATGAAGCAATGCATTGATTGAGGTTTGATGCTACATATTAGGAATGAGGGGGAAGTGGGGTGGGGGGATTTACAGTGATAATCAGAAAAACTGTTGGCACATAAAAATATTTCAAGAAAGTTTCTTAACTAATCATAAGCATTATCTTTCCATTATCTTGTGGTTAGAAAGTCAATTCTGATTGGCCAAAGAACAAAAGAACATGGAATATTTCAAGGTGCCCATAGTTTTTGTTTTTTTGATGTGATGGCGTGTTTACACTTCAAACTGCCCCCTGCCCTGATCTTACACCTACCATTGGCAGAGATCAGTTTAGGCCCATTTTTATACATAAATTTTAAAGACAGTAGCTGTTATTATTTTATATTGATTTTGCTTACTTTAATAGAGCCACTGCGAATACGAATGGGACTAGATGTAGGGATCCTGTCCATGCTAATCCTTTCACGTGAATCAATGCGCGAAGGGCTTACACTCCTTTGAGGTGAACCTCTTTCTGTTGGTGTAACACTCATGGAAGAGCCCTTTGGTGACACATTCTGCAAACCTGTGGTGCTTCCATGTTTGACATCTGTCTTGTCCCATGCTCTACCACAAAGAGTAGGACTCTGACATTTGGGGCTTGGTACATGAGAAAGCTTGGGGGTATTATTGCCGTCAATTGCTTTAGGCTCAGATATGCTTTTCATTGCAATTTGCAAAGATGCAGAGCTTGAAGTCCTAATCTCCTGTAAACTGTTTCTTTTCAAAGATACCAGATCCAGTGCCTTTTTTTCACCTTGAAAAGAAAACAGCAAGAATGTTAGAAAAATATCCATGGAAGGTCCACATACACATTTGTGAACAGTAAATACTACATCACTGCATCAGAGTAATCCTTTCATGTTAACAATAGGATGAAGAGATTTCGTGCTCCATTGAGTGGAGACTCCAGGGTAATTAAGTATCGGGTATGCCCATCTAAAAATTTAAAAAATACTCCTAAAAGATACCAAAAGTCCTTTAAAAAGGGCGTGGTTGGACAATTTTTAACCACTAAGGGAAAGATTACAAGATACGCTGAAATCCACCCCCCCCCCACCACCACCCCCCAGAAAATCTTCCTGTCACACTCATAAAAGAGTGTGACAGGAGGATTTTAAACTTCAAAAAAAGATAAAATAAAACTCGTTCAGCTTTGATTTGCATCTTGTATGAAACAATGGTTAGAATGACAACAAAACATCTTTAAAAATAGAATATTGCGACATTTGATTTACCTTCATCGATGACCAAGGATTTCTTCCTGATGACTCCAGGCCTTGATGATTTGAGAGTATTTCTTTCTGGTATTTTGTTACTTTCTTTAGCTCCTTTCCCCCGAGTTGAGCCCACTGAAGGAGTTCCAGCCAAACCATTCGATGTCTTGTGGGATACCTAATCATTATCATAAGGGGTAAGCTAGGGAAGGTACTTTCTTATTTTGG